TGTTGGCAAAATAGTTCTCGATCTTTACATGTATCACTTTTAGGGTCGAATATATCGTTGTCCTTTTTGTAGTCTGTATTTGTCGAGTTTTCGCCATGTCTTATATGCTACCCCATCTCCACAATGGTTGGCAGGTTGATCAGGCGATTCTTTCAGAAGAGGATCGTGTTGTGGTTATCAGGTTTGGTCATGATTGGGATCCAACCTGTATGAAAATGGACGAAGTAACCTTTTCAGTGATTATCGTTTTCATTCCTTTGATCGTTTTTTAGACACTGTTCAAAATCGCAGAAAAGGTGAAAAATTTTGCTTCTGTCTATTTGGTGGACATATCGCAAGTTCAAGACTTTAACAAAATGTATGAGTTGTATGATCCATGTACTCTGATGTTCTTCTTCCGGAATAAGCACATCATGATCGATCTCGGTTTGTTTATATTTTGATGAGTCTTTCTGTGATAATTTTTCATTTTAGGAACGGGTAATAACAATAAAATTAATTGGGCGTTAGAAGATCCCCAAGAAGCAATCGATATAATCGAGACTGTTTACAGAGGGGCCCGTAAAGGACGAGGTTTAGTCATATCTCCAAAAGATTACTCGACAAAGTATCGGTACTAATTCTACAAAGAATTCAGCGTGTATTCTCGTATCGGTTCTCTGAAAAGCTGAGCTGAATAACTCTTGATTTAGTGTTACGCATACCGAAGGTTATCATCGACTATTTATACTGGCTGTTTTGTTTAAATTTTCGTCGTAAACAATAAATTGTGATTAATGTATATTACTGATTTGTTTGCAATTGCATTGTCAGTTTCACCTCACCCTTCGTTCAGAGTAATAATAATATTCAGTACACATGTGTTTCACCTGATTTCTCCTATTTAGCTTGAAATTGCACGAGAAGCTTTCTGTATCGTTTCAAGCGATTTTCCATTTTCCAGTTGCCATTCTCATGATTCTTCTACTGCTCTTGAGTACTATATGAAAAGATTTCAGAATTCTTTTATTTGGGATTAATGCAGATGGATATCCTGATTGTTACCACCGGATTTGTAATTGAGGTGACCTTTTCCTAGGAAGATTTGCCTTTAAGCGTTAAGAGACGTACCGGAGCCCTTGTTAGCTCACTATCACGGCAAATTTACACCGTAAAATCATCTACTGATAGTTTTACCTTATCATTCTGCCCGTTACCACTTATTTTGGCAGTGACTTCAAGGTTATTAAGTGACTGCTTGAATTGTCAGACACTCCAAAATCCATCAAAGTGATCTAATTGGGAATTATTTAATGCTAAATTCAAATATTTTAAAGCCTCAAAGACAAATGTAAAAGCGCAACAACCGAAAACCGAGAAAAATAGTAAACTGTATATAGAAAAGCTAAATAAATTTATTATACCAGCAAAATGTAAGTTGCAACCCATTTTCTGTGGGACTTGTGTCATCAGCGATTACACGTATCTGACTTGCTGTGGAATGCAGACCGGCTGCGCCTGTGTAGCGTGAACCTGGTTCGGAATGTAAGCTGGAGAGCATGTAGCAGGAACAGAGTTCATGATCGGAGTAGCTTGAGCAGGAAATGGGCTTGCCATAGGAACGGAGTTCATGGCCGGAGTAGCTTGAACAGGAAATTGGCTTGCTGTAGGTACCGCTTGTATCACTGGTGCAGCTTGGACAGGTGGTGGGCTTGGAGAAACTGGAGAGACAAGTTGATTTGGGGCTACTGCATACACGGGAGTTGCCGGCGGTGGTGCATACTGCGGAGCTGGTGCTAGAGACGACAGTATTTAATGACATGTCATCCTTGTGAGCATGCATTAGAACTTTTAAGACAACCTTAAAATTTAATGCAGAAAACTGTAGAACACTGTTTAATCTAAAACTGGACAACCCATAGCTCAGCAATTATCCACCGAGGGTATAAAACTTAAGGTGACAAAAATAACCATTCATTTCCACTAAAAAGCATGTATTTTATTCGTGAAATAATCCACTTGTTATAAACGTACATTGAAATATGACCTTAAAGGCTATTTTTTATAACATCGAAGATGCGCGACTTTCTTGGATAACTAAGACCTCTTGGAAAGCAATTCATTTTTGAAAACCAGAAACCGCATGTTATGACATATTCGCCTTGGAAACCTGTTTATAGTGCAATGTTCGATAAATCAAATATTGTTTTACTCGCTCAGTAAGCGTCGATTTAATGACTAAACTCGTTTATAGTGAAGATATCAAGTGTTACAATTCATAAAACCATTAACTTGTATATTTAAAAAGCCGAAGGCTGTAATAGATCTTTAGTTCCATTCATAGCCTAAAGATGTTGCAACGTTAAAGACCAATGCGTAGAGCTTAGGTAAAAGTGTTTATTTGATTTTTTTACTTTTTTACCTCAAACGTATTTCGCATATCATTTGCAGTTCATATCGGGTTAAACTAGTTTATAATCATATAGACTAAATTGCGAGTTAATTTAATTAATTAGTCTATACCGTTATGGGCGGAATACCATCTTATACGGATTGACAAATATTAAAGATGAACCGCCCTTACGGCACCTTAATGAGAATGAGCTGATCTGATCGTCAAAAAATTCTCGTATTTACACTATCTGAACACATTTCAGAATATTGACAGAGTACCATGACGTGGAAATATTTTAACTAACTTCAGCATTATACCACGTCGTCTGTTTTTTGTATATTGTGGAATCGTTTGCAGCTACGTATTTCTCCTTTCACAAATAGTATTATTGTGCAATCTGTAAACGAAAATAGCATTAAAACGCCGTCTATTTATACACAGCACAATCAGATATTGATCAGTAGCGACATTTTCTGGCATTTGGCTCTTAACGTACCAAGTCTTGCGGGCAACAAAAGAAACATTCGAAACTCAACGAATTTCTTAACTGAAACTTCCGTACTGGTCAATCACCTGAATCACGATAGTGTTTTAGTTGTGTACAAATAACCCATTTTAATGCTATCCGTTTGATCACCAAGCACTCATTCTTCCGAAACTTGCACAAAGCCCCAAATTGTTCCTCGAAGCGTCTGTACGGCTTTCAACATATTTTCAGGTCACGCATTGCCTCATATTTCACTAATAATAATCTTCTGGACACACATCTATGAAGTCCTGAAGCATACTGATTTTACGGACATCGCAGAGTTCAATATTCATCAAACAATAAACTTTGTTGTATTTCTGTGAATGAATGCAGTCAGAAGTTGCTCCGTTGTCTCATTCGGACATGAACATCCTTTCTCAAGCTGGAGCTGCTTTACTCCGCTGCCTGCTAAAAGAAGCTTCGGTAGTGAATACGCATTCAACATCCGAAATAACTGAACTAGTCAGTTTCTGAGGACTCTAACTTTCATGATTGGCTTAATGCGACCAGTTCTTATATCGCTTTTGTACCCAGTCACTTCTGCCCTTTTGATAACCTGTCAGGAAATGTTCCATTTAAATGATTGCACGAAAAATCCTCAGCTCCTTATACCTGTGTTACGTTCATGCTTTGACTGTGCAACCC